TGTGGGAATACCCTTCTTATTTTCCCACATAGAAATTCTCCACCTTTAGGCGACCACCTTCTCCAACCTAATTCCTTCCTCACCAGGAAGCTTCCTGAGCTGGATGTCTTCGAGCTGTACCTCCAGAGCCCCACTCCAGCGCCCCACTCCAGCCTCCTCCAGGCACTCTGTGGGCTGCATCAAAGGAATTCTTTACCTCTCTGGCTTCTGGTTGGGCTCAGCCAATGGGAGGTATCAGCAGGAGGTGGGAGGAGAGAGAGGTTGGGGTATTTATTCCCCTGGTTTCCTCCCCATGACATCATTGCAGGTTGGCTATTTCCTTCCATGAAGACCACAGCTTCTGTTTCATTGCTTTCTCCACGTTTGCTCTCTGCTTTTCTGATTACCATTCCCTCCCCCAGCCCATTGGTCAAAGGGAGGTAATGGCTCATCACTGTCACTAGGCTTGGGGCGCATCACCATGCTTTGTTGGTTTCCCTTGACTCTATTTACACTCTGTAAATTGAGCCTTTGTTAAACTCTTCTCCAGGACCTGGTGTGAGGGTGCCAGGGTGCCATCTATTTTCTGCCAACATCCTGGCTGATATACTCCCCCAATTTCCCTTCCCACTGGACGTCCACATTCTTCTCTGCATTTTGTTGCATATCTGTCCTAAGCCTCCACTAGCTTCTTGGGACTGGAGCTCACCTTATTAATTCTTTCCTTACCCCTTCTTGTATCCTATCATGCAAGATTGCTCCCAGAGAGCATGGGCCCGGGCAACGTTTGTTGAATGAATGAACTTGAGAGCAGGATTTTCCCAGAGGTTCTAAAAGATGAAGTTGTATTCAGTCAGTTTCCGTCTCTTTGCTGTTTCACCTGCTCTCCAGATGCCTCCGAGTCTTCTCTTTGGTGAGAATAAGATTCTCCCCTTTAACTTTTGTGTCTCAGTCCCAGCCAATTGTTGAAAGAATGCTAAATGGAAGAGTACTAAAAAGAGCTCCTGGCGCTCCCTAGATCCTTTTGTCCCTCAAATTTAGGCATCCCCCTTAATCCCACCGGATTTACCTCACCTGGATCTTACCTCACCTGGAATTTTTCAGCCATCATCTGTATCATTTTAGAACCACTTTATTGGAACTTTAAGACAGTGTTCAGCTGCAATAACCTGTAATTAAAGTCTATAGCCCAGGATTTCTTTCTTAGTCTGATAACCTGCTCAGCTGTCTGTGTTAATAATGCCAAAGACAAATTCTTGGAAAGCAATTGAGATATTGAGGGCTCCTGCCTTTGGTGGAGTAATTAGAAAGCTGGGCAGGCACTGTAAGTGATTGCTTGCCATTATCATGGTTTTATTTTTGGAACAATGGCCTATCCTTCAGACTTTTCTTTTTGTCAGATGTCATCGTGTATTTCTCATTTTAAAGGAGGACACTTGATCATTGACATTGGGAATAAGTTGTCCTAGTCTTTCTTTCCCCTCTCTATGATTTGGCTTTGCTGGAAAGATGGATGTGTGCGCGAACAAATGACGTTGTCAGATAATCTGTTCTTCAAATTTAGGTGATCTAGAGGAAAAAAGCATGATTATGTGAATACAGGTGAAATATCTGCATTGTTTGATTTTGCTTCATGTTGCAGAGATGGGAAGGGCAAAGGTATTTGTCGGGACAAGGGGAACCTTGATTATACACAAAGAAAGTGGGTGGGAAGTGAAAGCTGTAGTAAAACCTGCTCTAAACCACCAAGGAGTGTAAAGGACTGAACAGCAAGTACTTTGAAGGATTTCAGAGATAATCTCACTTAGAAAAATGATATATATATATTTTTTGGCCATTTAGATTTGTTTCCCTCCTGGTTAATGCTTATAGGACGAGATAGCAGGAGGGCTTGCTGGTTTGAGTGTTCCTGATTGATTCTTCTGGGGAATGGTGTTATTTCTTATTTTATTTTTTTCAATTGTGGAAAAATATACATAAAATTGACAATTTTAACCATTTTTATGTGTGCACTTCAGTGGCATTATTAAGTACATTCACATTGTTGTGCAGCCATCACCACCACTGATTTCCAGAAATTTGTCATTATCTGAAACTCTGGACCCCTTGAACACTAACTCCCCATTGCCCCTTCTCTCCAGTCCCTGGTAATGACCTTTCTACGTTGTCTCTATGAATCTGACTCCTCTAAGTACCTCATATGAGTGGAATCATACAGTATTTGTCTTTTTGCGCCTGGCTTATTTCACTTACCAAAAAGTCCTCAAGGTTCATCCTTGTTGTAACATGTGTCAGAATTTTTTTCCTTTTTAAGGCTGAATAGTATTCCATTGTGTGGATAGACCACATTTTGTTTATCCGTTCATCTGTCAATGGACACTTGGGTTGCATCCATCTTTGGCCATTGTAAATGATACTGCTGTGAACATGGGTGTGTAAACATCTTTTCAAGTCCTTAGTTTCAATTCTTTTGGATATATACCCAGAAATGGAGTTGCTGGATCATATGGTCATGTTATGTTTAATTTTTTGAGGAACTGCCATACCATTTTCCATAGCGGCTGCACCATTTCATATTCCCACCAACAGTGCACAAAGGTTCCAGTTTCTCCAGATCCTTGCCAGCACTTGTTATTTTCTGTTTTTTTGACAATAGCCATCCTGATGGGTGTGATGTGGTGGGTGTTATTTCTTTTTAACTCACTTTATTTCTTTATACTGAAGTATTCTTTAGAAAATTACTGATATCATGGCATTCTACCCTTAAATACTTAGATTTGCACCCTGAAAAAGAATATTTTTCTACATAGCCAAAATAATGTGACACCTAAAAAAATTTACAATTCTTTAATACTACCTAATGCCTGGTCATATTCAGATTTCCCAAATTACCCTTTACAGCTGCTTTGTCCAAATCAGGATCCAGTCCAGGACCACACATTGAATCTGTTCTTAATTCTCTCTTTTAATCTAGACATTTCTCAGGACAATGATTTGTAGAGAAGATGGAACCATGTGTCCTGCAGAATATCCCGCTTTATATAATTGTCTGATTGTGTCCTTGTGGTGTCATGTAGCTTCTTCCCTATCTCTTGTAATTTCTGTAAACTGGAAGTTAGATCTAAAGCCTTGGTTAGATTAAGGTTAAATATCATAGTTAGTGGATTAAGGTGATGCCAGCCTGATTCCTCCATTATTCAGTTATGTTGGTCCCTCTTTCCTCCAGAGAATAATCTGGAAGCGGATACGTTGGCCCCTTGCTTCCCTCCATCATTCACTGATGGTTTCAACACCAATTGATCCTTCTTTCCTGTATCAATAATTTTATCAGGAGACGAAAAGGAAGCTTTGAAGTCCATCATCCCTCCCATATGGATTAGCTGGCTTTCTTTTGCAGGACTTTCCCTCATCAGTTGGGGCTACCTTTAAATACAGTTCCTCCTGAAAAGGCAGCATACATGCTTAATTCTTTCCCTTTAAATACCAATTTTCAAAGTAAGGAGTTGGTTTTAATGACTGCTTCAGATGGTGACGGATGAGTTTTGTCAGGCTTTTTCTATTTTGAGTGTCATGATAAACTCATGGATTTTCATAGATCCAGGGGGCTTTTAGAGGCAAATTGGCCTGCTGGAGATGAGCCATTTTTAAAGAAAAGCAAGAATGGTAAATGAAGAGCAGCACATGGCAACAGCCAGAGAGTGTGTGTGTGTGTGTGTATGTGTGCTCGTGTCTGTTCCCCATCCCTACTCCCAGCCACACCAACCTGTGTGCGCTTGCATTTGTCATTTGTCCCGGAGCAGAAGAGCCTATCGGACCCCCGCAGTGACTGTTAGCAGCTCGTTTGAGAGGTGATTCAACTATCTCTTTGGTTTGGTTAGTTTCAACATGCCCCAGGATTTAGGGCCTTCATTTCCTAACCAGATTGCCTTTCAGGGATAGGAACTAAGATCCCTCTAAAGTGATGGCTGATGAAAATAAAAATTTTTAAAAAAATATGCTTTTTTATTGAGGTAAAATTCACCTAACATAAAATTAACCATTTTACAGTGGACAAGTCAGTGGCAGTTAGTATGTAGTCAATGTTATGCAATGATCACCTCTATCTAAACTCCAAGATATTTATTTTCATCACTCCAGAAAGAAACCCTGTACCCATCAGCAGTCACTCCCCATCCCGCGTCTCCTCCCTCCAGCCCCTGGCAACCGCTAATCTACTTTCTGTCTCTATGGATTGACCTACTCTGGACACTTCATATAAATGGAATCATATAGTACGTGGCCTTTTGTGTCTGGCTTCTTGTTCTTAGCATGATGTTTTCAAGGTTTATCCACATTGTAGCATGGATCAGTACTTCATTCCTTTTTATGGCCGAATAACATTCCCTTGTATGGATATGACACATTATGTTTACTCATTCGTCAATGGATGGAAATTGGGTTGTTTCCACATTTTGGCTATTGTGAACAGAGCTGCTATCAATGATGAACATAATTTTATTCCTATTTTGCCTGTTAACTGTCTGCTTTATCATCCCATTTTGAGTAATCTTTGGATTTGGTCTTTTCTTTTGAATCTAAGTTCCACGTAACTTTATACAGACTTGTTTCTCCAAGTTCTTTTTTGAGGATGGTAGAATAGATAATGTGATGGGTGCTCTGGTTAGGAAGGAAACCAAGGGGGAGATGTGGTCTTGTTAAGAGAAATATTTTTAAATTACAAAAGTCCTGTTTGTAGGCTGGAATTATGCTGGCATGTTATGTACTTTTAGCTCCTCATATTTTCTGGAGCCGGGAGTGGGGAGTCGGGGTTGTAAAGTGAACCTATTTGTCTCGTCCGGATTGTCTGAGCCCTCAGCCTTAGCCTGGATTTTCGGAGGGAAATGAATAGAGAAGGGAAGTAACTTTCTAAGGTCAGCGAATGAATTGGAAATAGGGTGGGTGATGGAAAAACATTTCTCAAATCACTGCCAGTCACCTGTTAAATTAGTTAATTTTTTAAAAATCCTGTGCACAGCCACAAGTCTTCCAGTGAATGTAAATATTTATTGGTTGATTTTGGTAATGTAAGGAGACAGTATTAGGAGAGGAACCCCCATTTAACAGAAAGCTCGGTCTGTTTAAAAGACCCATATGACAAATACACGTGGTTTTTAAATGCTTGTGGAATGCCTCTCCAGGGGGAAAATAAAAAGCAATTAAATAACATCAGTAATTTCCTTAACAGAAATCACTGCAGCCCTTGGTCTGTCATTCAGTCACTCTCTGAACCACAGTTTTATCCAGGCAACCCCGGAATCAGTCCTAAGTTGCTATGTAACCCTATGCAAAAATTCTTCTTATTTACATTTTATTAGAAAAATAACTCTCCAAAAGACCTTCTTTTGCCATTAAGGGGGAAAAAACCTATTGAAGAACAGAGAGACAAATGGTAAAATAATAGTAAAATAACTGAAGCATGCATTCTCTATTGCCTGTTAAGCACAAATTATTACTTGCATCAGGAAGGGACCCTGTGCATGCCTGCTCTGTCATTTCTCTTCCCTCCTTAGGGACATGTTTACAAATGGTGTCCACTGGTTCAGGACTCTTTCCCTGCCCCGATCCTTTGGAAATAATGTTTCCAAGCTTTTGCCCAGCCCTTTGTGACTTAAGTAGGAGGAAAGGGGCCACATGCTGAGAGATGCTCGCCTGCAGGAATCCCAGAGTCCAGGGGCACTACCCAGTCTGCCCTTTTCCCTTCCCTTTCCTGGAAATGAGGATGGCGAGGATGGCTTCCCTCTTCCTCTTCTCTTGACCCCTGCCCTGGGACAGCCTGCAGCACCCTTAGGTGTCTAAATCTGGGCAGAATCTCTTGGCCGATAGGGGTCATTCCTGGTGTCTCATGATCTGATAGACCAGAATATTAAATGACACTCAGAGAAAGCAGGCAAGTGGGTAACGACTGTGACCGAGGGGGACTTGGCTTCCATTTGTTTTTGCTTAGTTCCTCACCACTTGGTGTAAGTTCTGGATCCTCCTGGTTCAGGGCAAGCACCAACTGCCTAGGTGGCATGAGTTTCAGGGAGCTCTTACTAAGACTGTAAGCACTGGCTCAGAGAGAGTGTTCAGTTCTTAGGGTCACTCAAAGATGACGTCAAAGGTACAATGTCAACACTAAATTTTAAGGTGGCAAGTCTACTGGGTGAGGGCTGGCACAATGTATTTTATATACAGTCCAGCACACTGTTAATACAAAACAAATGATGGATAATTGTGTGGACCAGTAAGCTAAAGGAAACTTGATTGTGGGAAGTAGAGGGAGAAGCTCTTTGCAAGTGTCAGAAGAGGAATTTTTTTCCTTTTTTGGTGAGTAAGATTAGCCCTGAGCTAACATCTGTGCCAATCTTCCTCCATTTTGTATGTGGGATGCCTCCACAGCATGGCTTAGACGAGCAGTGCCATGTCTGCGCCCAGGATGCAAACCAGGGAAACCCTGGGCTGCCGAAGTGGAGCACACGAACCCAACAACCCGGCCATGGGGCCAGCCCCCAGAAGAGGAATTTTTAAGAGGTGTTAGGATAGTGGCTGCCAGGAGCCTTCTTAGCATTTAGAGAGGACCCACCGCATCATCATGTCTTAATCCTGGCTTCCCACTTCCATGGTTGGCCCCTGACAGATCAATCAGACAGCAGTTTGGTTATCAAAACCATACCTACCTGCCTTGAAATTGAATTTGAACCAAGAATACAGAATTTGCAAAATTTAGTATGAAACACGTAAGCCTGAGTTTTTCACTTGGATTATTATGCAGGTCTCATTTAGCATCCTTGTCTCTTGTCGCAGGCATGAGGCTTTGGAGTGGTGCGATTAACAGCCCAGGCTCCAGGCTCCAACTGCCTATGGGTTCAGATCCAGGTCCTTTCATTTCCTAGCAGCAGTGTGCCTCAGTTTCCTTGTCTGTAAAATGGGTGAACAATGGTACATACCTCACAGGGCTGGTAAAAGAATAAATGAGATAATGTCTACAGCACACTTAGTGCTGGGTCTTGCCCTTCAACCAAGCTTAGTAAGTATTAGCTGCTGAAATTGCCTAGGTCCCTGGAGGAGGTCTCTGGTTGGTGGTATGTAAGGGACCCCCGGCTTGAGCGCTACTTCATAATTTTCTTGGGGCCTCTATTTCTTCACTTGTGAAGTGAGGGGCTCTGGTGAGGCCCCTTCTAGCTCAGAAATGATATGATGGAAGGAAGGAAGTTTGTGTTAGCTACAGCTTCTGTTTATCAACACTTTCCCTTTCTCTTCTTTGAGCCATGATAAATGAAAACTGTCTTTTTACTTCCTTAAATACAGAAGTGAGCTTTTGAGAGTTCTCAAAATCAGCTCAAAGACAAGTCTAAATAATCTTGCATTCCTGATATGTAATGGGAGAGACCTTTAAGAAAAAGCCCTGCTTCCATACCTCTCTCTTGATGCATTATATTATTTGGGTATCTCTGTATGCTTCCAGTTTTGATCAATTACAATGAAGTGAAAGCATGGTTAGCATTTTATCAGTGTCCCCCCCCCCCCCCCCCCGCCCCTTTCTTTTAAGAGGCTTCCTACAGGGTAGTGTGGCCCCTAAGAGGTCATCAGATGCAGATTTCAGTCCATCAAGGTAGCTTTTTAAAGGTTGAGACCTCTGGGGGTGGAGGGGGGCAGTATTCTTTTGCTTTCTGTCTTTGTCGTTAACCTTGAGTGGATTGTGAAAAATGTAAGAAGGGAAGAAGGAAACTCAGAGGAGAGACGTTTCAGTAAAGAGCAGGTCTGCTGGGATTTTTTTCCCATCGTTGTCAGTCGGTGTATAAATTTCAGACAGACTTTAAAAATCCACTCAGGAAAACTGACATCCCTGTTTGTTCACTCCTGCTAGAAGCCTCCTGATTTTTATTTACAAGGTTCCTGCCACACATTCTGCCTTCCTTGAAAGCCCAGGCCATGACCTGCCTGTGGGTCCCTTCTGTTCTCACAGTGGATTTCATGGCCAGTGGCCTGGGCATGAATAACAGTTGGATGACATCACAGAGTTGATCACCAGATTTCACAGCTAATGAGCTTTTTCTTGGGAAAGCCTCAGATCTCTTTACAGAAGGTTACCCATCCCTGGTTTGGGCAAACCTTCCCATTTTATAGATGAAGAAATGAGCAGGTACAGATATGCCTGTTTAGTGTCACCTTGGACATTCTTAGTTAGATGATGTATATGCCAGCTGCTCAGCTAAGTAACCCTGCTCCTTAGCTTGAGTTTAGCTGTGGTTTTGATGCTTATAACAGCATTGATCACTCTAGCTAATGGTCACTGACCTCCTCCTTCCCACTAAGGGCTGCTGGCATAAGTGCCCCATAGACATTATTTTTTATAATGAATCTCAGTCTGGATTTCCAGTAACAATTTTCTGCAGGAGTGGGCTGCTTTTGGAGTAATAAGCATTAGGAACCTTTACAGTTTAAGAATTTAGAAACCCACACCTTCTGGGCCAGGCACGGGTACTGCCAGTCTCCTAGGAGAACTGAGTTCTGGCCTGCAGCGCCCTCACCCTTACTGAGATCAGCTCCCGGGCACCGCAGGAAGAGGGGTTCCTGTCCAAGAGTGTGGGGCACCCACCTTAGGGCAGAGTGTTGAAAATTCAGGGCGTTCTCCTTGGCAGCCTCCAAGTCAGGCAGCTCGATCGGAACTCCGGCCTGCACCACCCCACGTTTTACGCTGACTCCCTCTCTACCTGGAAAGGCAAACCAGAGGGCAGAGAGGGCAGCGTCAGGGGATCGCCCAAGCCAACTGCCCGCGTCCGGGGGAACTGGGCCACTGACCGTATCCCGGGTTCGCCGGCATCAGGTCCCGGTCCCATGGCTTGTGCAAACCCGGGAACCCGTGTGCCCGCTTCCTGGGGCACAAGGACGTGTACCCGGCGTCGCGTGCAGGGCTGCCCGCCGTGGCCTCTGCGCCCCGGGGCCCCCGCGAGACGCCCCGCAGGACCACACAAAAGACCCCACCCCAGGCCGAGCGTGCATTTCCTGTTCGAGCGGCGGCGGCGTGCAGCCACCCATGTGCATCCCGCGGCGCGCGGGCCGGGCGGGGCGCGGGGCACGCCCCCACGCAGCCCCAGTCCCCGCGCGCCGGCCGCGAGGGGCCGCCCTCGCCGGGCCCGCCCCCGTGTCACCGCAGGCCGGGCTCCCTTTGTGTGCGGCCCGAGCGCCGCGGCCGCGCCATTGGCCCGCCGGCCCGGGGGGCCAGCCCCTTCCTGGCTCGCCTCATGCATATGCATAAGCCCCCCGGCCCTCCCCGCGCCGGCCCCTCCCCGCCCCCTCCCGCGCGGGCGTGCGAGGCGCGCGGCGCGGCTCCCTCCTCGCGGCAGCGGGAGCCCGAGCCCGAGCCCGAGCCCGAGCCCGAGCCAGGGCGAGCCGAGCCTGCTCCGGGCGGGCGGCGGCGGCGGCGGCGCCGCTCCAGCCATGTCAGCGCGCTCGAGCTTGGGCCCACCATGAGCCATGGCCATGTCCGTGAGCGCCGAGGACGACGACTATGAATCGGAGCCGGACCAGGTCGGCGGCCCGGGGTGGGGCTGAGGGAGGGACCCGCCGCCCGCCCGACCTCCCGAGCGACCGACTGACGCGCCCCGGGCGGCCGCGACGCCGCCGCCGCCGCGATGAGGAGAAAGTTTTGCAGCCGCCGCCGGCGGGGCCGCCAGGGCCGGGCCCGAGCGGGGCGCGGAGGAGCGCGGCAGGCCGGCGGGCGCCGCGGGCCCCGCAGCCGACCCGGGCAGGGGGCGTGTGCGGGCGGCCGCGCGAGGGTGGCCGGCCGTGCCGCGGGGACAATGTGGGCCTCGCCGTCGGGCGGGCCCTGCCGGCGCGGGCCACGGCCGGCGGGCAAGTTGCGGGTGCCGGCGCGGGCGGCCGGGGCGCGCCGCGCCCTCCCCTCGCGCCCTCGCCGCGGCCCACGCGCGCGCCGGGCGCACCCGGACCCGGGGCCGGCGCCGCCTCGCTTTCCGTCGGCGAAGTTGCACCGGGACCCCCGGCGTCTGGGCCGGAGGGCGCACGGGGCCCGTGGGCCCGACGGCCCGAGCTTTTGTCTGGGCGCCGCGCGCCCGCCGTGGGCAGACGGAGACAGGAAGGGGTGCGAGCGGCGGCCGGCGCGGGGAATCCGGAACCCGGGCGAGTCCGCTCCGCGCGGCGGCGGGAGGAAGCCGTGACCCCAGATGGCAGCGTGTGGCCGCGGTCGGATTTAGAAGGGAAAGCAAGCTCTCCTGGGACCGGGGGGAGAGATGCGTGTATAAAACAAAGCCCTGGGTGTGTTTACGGCACGAATTTGCTCCGGGAAGCTTCGTGTCTAGGAAGCGGGGGAAGAAAGTTGAGGTTTTACGAAGTATAATCGGCACGGTATTTGCACCAGGACGCGGGCTGGATGGAGTCGCCCGGGGAATTAAGCGGTGGACGGGCTGAGTTATGCTGTGGGCATGGGGCTGGCGAGTGAGATGCTTGCTTCCAGTCCGGGGCGCGTCTCCTCGGTGCAATAAGGAGGCTGGGGAACGTGCAGGCCGAGCTGTGGACGCGTCTGTCTCCCGCCCCTAGGTGGGATTGAGGAAGCGCCACCTCTGCCGCACTGAAGTCGGAGCTGACGTTTTATTCCGTGGTTTCATTTGACAAAGTTAAGTTGTGTTGTTTTCTCAGTTTTGCTGGACGTTTCTCAGCCACGTAGACCTTGTGAGGTGTTCCTGAATCTCATGGTTTTAGGGCTTGGATTCAGCCAGAGACAACCCAGGCGGTTTGGGCTCGGAACTTCTCTCGAGTCAGTAGCACCTTCGGTGAGTGGCTCTCAATTACTGCTGCTTAGTTCACACTTCAAGTCTTGGTTTGGAATTTTCGGTTCATTTCGGTCTGTCTGATCCCTGCCAGCAGTTTACCATTTCTGTGGCATCTGGTCCTTAATGAGACTCTTGTGTTCAGCGTTGACTGTGCTTTGGTATTCCAGGATTGAGGTTCCTGTTACCTGTTTTGTTTTGTTTTGTTAATTTGGCCACACCCTATGGCCTGTGGTAGATACAATCTTTGACACTGCAGGAGACAGCACCTCGGGTGTCTCTGGGCTTAAAACCACGCTTTCAGGTCCTGCCACTCCTGAGACACTTCCATCAGGAGAGGACCTGTACTCCCTGTAGCCAGATTTTCTTTCCTCCTCCTCTGGTCAGTCGGCCGGTCGTGGCACTTCTGGAGTTGTTAACAACAGACGTTCTCGAGGTTGCGATATTCACTCTACAACGACTTTTTCCACTCAGTGCACTGAAGGAGATAACATCTAAGCCAGATCCGTGGGCAGCAGGTTTTTCCTACAGTCCCAACAGAGAAGACAGTTGTCAGCGAAAGTAACCTGCTCTTAGGGACACTGTGGCTGTGGCTCACTGCTGCCAGCCTCCCCCCACCCTCTCACCGGTTTTCTCAGCCCTGGGATTTCTTGGGCCGGAGGAGAGTGGCTTCCTCTAAGGACCTCGAAGGCATTTGTTTCTTCCACACGAGAGCCAAAGTCTTTGGAGTCTTAGATCGCAGGCTCTAGACCCCGCTCTTCTCTAAGTAAGTCTCCTTCTGGGAGGGCTCAGGAGGTCTGACTCCTGCGGCTTCCACCCCACCCTGTCGGAATGGGTTTGACACCAGAGGAGCAGCCCTTTTGGAGGGAGGACAGGTGGAAGTCCTGGAGTGCGGGCAGGCAGGTATACTCGCCCACCTGCTGCATGAAAAGACCCGCGGCAGCCGCTGGGAAGTCACTGTTGCCCAGCCCCTCACTCCCACCCCTCATCAGAATTTTCCTGCTCCACCTTAAAAGTCTGTGCTCTTCTCCCATCCCCACTCGAGGCTGGTGTCCAGTCCTGGGCAGCATTGGGCTTCCTTCGGCCTGTTCTTCTGGGCTGGCCTGTCTGCCCCGTACCTTTCCACAGCAGCCAGGGTTTCCCCTGCTCCCGATGTTGCAGCCTGTGGGACTGGAGCAAGGGGGTGATGGTGGGTAGGAGGAGACCCCTTGCACGCCCTGTGCCAATGCCCACCCTTAGCTGGGACTTCTCCTATGGACTTCATTTGCTTCTCCAGTGCAGAATGTGTCAGAAAATTCTTCAGCTCTGCTTTTGAGTTTGTGGAGATGCCCCTTAAAGAAGGGCTGTTAGGTGAGAAGAATTCTTGTTCCATCTTGTTTGTTTGTTTGTTTTGAGGAAGATTAGCCCTGAGCTAACATCTGCCGCCAATCCTCCTCTTTTTGCTGAGGAAGACTGGTCCTGAGCTAACATCTGTGCCCATCTTCCTCTGCTTTATATGTGGGACACCTACCACAGCATGGCGTGCCAAGCGGTGCCATGTCCACACCCGCGATCCGAACCGGTGAACCCTGGGCTGCTGAAGCAGAATGTGCGAACTTAACTGCTATGCCACCAGGCGACCCCTATCTTGTTTCTTTTAACCCCTGAAGTGAAAATACATTTATTTCTTTTTTCCTATAAAAATGATTGTTGCTTATTTAAAATAATAAAAATAGTAATATTTAGGAAATTATGAAGAAGAAAATCTTTTGGAAATTTATGCAGCCCTAACCACTGTGTTACTCATTATAGCTTCTTACACAGTGAAATTTTAAGATGGTTCCCTGAACCTTCCAGAAATTATATGCAAAAGTTTTGTGATTTTATGCCTGTGCATTTTTCTGGGGAAAAAGGTCCTTAGCCTTCCTCAGATTCTCCAGAGGTCTTCCCACCCACTGGGTTTCTGTGTGTTTTTATTCCCTTGCTCTTTACCCTCACTATATAAACAAACGGAAGCCCTCCCCGGATTCTACAGGTGTGTGCTAAGGGGCCCGTGATGCTGCTAAAATCCAGCTTTTCTTTGGCTGTCCATTATGCCGGAAGATTTGGAAACAGACATAATACTGAAATAAATCTATGGTATGCAGTAGGATGCAACATTAGCATGACAAGGAATTCCATGCTGTTTGGGGGGCCATAGCTACCCCTTGGGCTAAGTGTCACTGTGCTGCTGTTACGGTAATTTGGTGGGAAACATTGAACTATCTTGATAGTAAAAACACACAGCCACGTTCTGCTGTTTTTCTCACTGACTCCTCTTGACAGTTGAAACTCCAGCCTGCTCCCTTCTTGAAACTCTTCCTTGGCTCGAGATGCCACAGCCTCCTGCTGCTCTTCCTGCCTTTCTGGCAGTGGCTCTTCAGGTTGCTCATTCTTGCCTGGCCCTCAAATGTTTTTAGTCCTGAAGGCGCTGTCCAGGGCCCTCTTTCCCCTCTCCCTGTTCTCCCTGGGCAACCTCGCGGATTTAACTAGTTTAACGCTGTGGCGCTGATTCCCTGTTGTGTGTCTCAGCTCCCGTCCCTCCTGCCTGCTCCGCCTTCCTTGGATGTGCCCTGGGTCCCTCAGTTGCCACGTGTCTATGGTGGAGTCGCTGTTCTCTGCCCTCTCCTAAGTCCCTTGTTCTGTTGGTCAAGCCAGAAGCTTCTGAGTCTCTCAGGACTCTTCCTGCCTGTGTACCCCATGTTAGTCAACCTCTTGGGTTGTTGAAACCCAGGGCTGCTTCTGAAACAGCCTGAATCATCTCCTCGTCTGCGGCCTCTGCTTCTGCCTTCATAATCTTGAGCCTGGACTACTGAAGTATTTTCAACTCATCTCCCTGCCTTTCATCTTGCCCGTTGCCCCAAAAATATTCACTCTCCACACGGTTGCCGGAATACAATCATGTTGCTCCTGCATGTGAAGTCCTTGAACTACTCTTAGGGCCACCATTTCCCTAATGTGGTGTATGGGGCTCTACAGAATTGGGCTTCTGCCACCTCAGGGCTGTATTCCAGCAGCCATATCAAGCTATTCCTTGAATGTGTCGTGTAGTTTCACATCTGTATCTTACTCTTCCTTCTGCTTAAAATATCCACTCCCTAACCCCACCCCTACCCTTGGCCTGCAGAGTCCCATTCTCCCTCTAAGACTCACCTGAGTCACCACCTCCTGTGTCTGTGACACTTTTCCCAACCTCCCTTCCCAGTGAGATGCATTTCTTCTGGGTCAGCATGTCAGGGTTCAGGCTTTAGAGCCGCCACCTGGGTTCATATCTCAGCTTCTTGTTTACTGACAGTATGACACTGGGCAGCTAACTGTGCTGTGCCTCAGTTTCCTCCTTTCTAAATGGAGATAATAATAAG